TGTCCTCTGGGAGGAAGCCAGGGGTGACCTCAGGGCCGGGTCACAGGGATTTGCCCCCCACACGAGTCTGGTCCAGGCAACAGCGTGTGCGAATTAGCAGTGAGTTAGACCGTGGGAAGTGGCGAGCGGTGACCTTCCAGTTTTTGAAAATGACATTCTAGGGTGACTTCGGGGCATTGCTGCTGAAGAATGTAAAACAAGCGCTTTGTTGATTTCTTTTCAAAGTGTGATCTGTAAAATTCCCAGATGGTTCCAGCAATCCATCCCGCCTTTCGGGGGCTGCCTTCTCCCAGGACCCCACATCCCTGAGCCATCTCGACAGCATCAGCTAACCCTGGGAAACAATCCTGGCGTTCTCACTCAGCGACAAGGCGGTCGGGTTTTCCGGTCACCCCCGCTGCCTGGGGCGCCGCCATCCCCTCCTCACTTCCGTGTAGGATGTGGTCTTTCTGCTGCCCTTGCCTGTTCCTGGCCGTTTCAAGCCTTTGGGGCGTTGTAAAGAGCAGGGGGGGCATTCTGCAAACTCCAGATCAATTTCTCTTCCGGTTCCTTCTTGGCCTTAGCTGACCTGGAGCCCCTCCCTCTAGAGACCCCAGAATTTCTGTCGCTCACTCCACACACCCAGTGGGCACCTGGCCCTGCAGAATTCCTCGGGGTGGCCCTCTCGAAGCCCATCCCTGCCTGTCCACTGCCATGGTCATCGCAGGCGCTCCAACCCGGCCCCGGCGTCCGCAGCCTGGCTCATCTCCTGGCCTGACTGCTCAGCTCCCCATCTCCCGTCTGCTACCCCCTAATTCACTCCAAATAACGGCCAGCCTGCTCTGAGGTGCACATTTGACGTCACCCTCCTGCTGAAAATTTATGATGCTTCCAGCTCTCGAGGCTGGTGCTCAACTCTTTATGCTTTTGAACTCTCCCGAGTGTTCCGGCCTCACGTCTTACAAGCCCTCCTTTGACCCAGCTGCAAGGACGGGCCGAAGTGGTGTGCTGGTCACTGCCTGTCACTGTCCAGCTCAGTCTCCATCCCTCTCCCTCACCCAGCGACCTCAGCTCCAGCCCTACCCACATGGAGAAGGCCTCTCCCATTCCCGGTACGGGTCAGATGCTGCTCCGTGGGGCTCCCTCCACACGCTGTCCTGTTCTCAATGCACATTGTACTGTGACCACCGATGTCTGGGTGTGTCCCAAACGGCACTGCAGACCCTCCAGTCACTGACCAGGCCCCTGCGGTGGCTGAAGCCGGCGCCATGTAACGCGCCGAACACCGGGGAGGGGTCTGCTTGCTCACTGAGCAGCCGAGCAGAGTCACCTGCTCCTGGATGCAAACGGGAAGCCACCCACCAGCCCCGCCACGTCCTGAGGGCTTGCTCTGGACTGACAGTCACATGACCTGACCCTCTCGGGGTCCCCTTTCGTCTTGCCTTCCTCCTCTTGGGGAACGCACAGATGTTTTGCTCAGCCTTGGGCTGGGGGCTGGGGGGGGGGAAATACCTGTAGAAAGGAAGAGCTGGATGGAGCCACTTTACAGAGAAAAGCAGATTCTAAGTGGGAGCTACAAGCATGCAAACAGTGTGTTCCTCTGTTTCATACATGTATTAAAATGTATAGTTATATATAACTAAAATCGGTAGCGCCTTTATTTCCACGGCATAACACAGCGTGTCACGGCCCCATGATGAAGAGACACTAACATTCATAACCTCCACTAGAGACAATAAACCGACACTCAGGCAGGCAGCCCTGCCGCAGCCGGCCAGGGCCCCCCTCTCGGCGGCACCGCCTGCGCGCCAGCCTGGAGTCTGCCTGCTTGATCTCCCCGAACAGGGGCTTGATCGCCACGCTCCCTCCACGGGTGTTTCCCTGACAGGTCCTCTGCGAACCTCATGCTGCACTCATTCCGCCCACGCTCCCGTCTGTCTGCCTCCTTTCTTGTCAAGTTTCACAGCTCGCTTCCGACGGTCGCCTGTGACACCCCGTTTCCTTCCAACCCACTCCCCTGACCCACACGAGATGTTTCTGTCGCTGGAGTGACAGCCAGGACCCCTGCAACACGCTAGACCAGACCTGGGCCCTGCGGCCTCGCTCTCACCTGACTCAGGCCTGGGGCAGCTCAGGTGGCAGGTGGGGCCGTGTGCCCTGCAGCACTGCTCCCTCATGCTCGGCTGGCCAGCACCCCAATAATTCAGAAATAAGCCGAGCGTCCTGTGACCTCGGCGCTGAAAACAGGCCCCTGGACTCCATGTTGTCCAGGGTGACATTACAGGGGACTTGAGTCCGAGCAGTAACCTTACACATAAGTGGAGACCGCCCAACGTAAAGGAAGCAATTAAAGCGAACGGGCGAGTAACTATGGTCAGTGTGGCGTCCACATTCTCACAGCGGTGACAGCTTCCACATTGAGGCTCACATGGACAGCACTGGGGTCCGTGCCTCACTCACCACCCCGTCAGCTCCCCCAGAGCTCCGCTCTACAGGGAAGGAGGCTCTTAAAGTGGCTCCCAGTGACTCGCCAGCCGGCCCGAGATCTCACAACAAGCAAATAGCTTCGGGCTAAAGTGAGGCCAGTTTGCCCTCTGAGCTCTTAGGCCTTAATGACTGTCCCCCAATTTACACTGCTGTCAATACCCCGAAACGGCTCCCGAGAAGGGGTGCCAGCATTTAAGGGTGATTCTACACGAGCTTATACTCGGCCTCAGTCGGAGGGTCTGGGAAAAAGTAACGCTGCTGTGACACAGGAGGGGGAACGCTTCATGTAAATGACAGGTCCCCAGGCTCCAAATGCACAGAGCTGGTGTTCGGGGGATGGGAACTGTTAAAAAAAATAAATTATATGCTTAACAATCCCTTGAAATAATCAGTTTGGAAACCACTCATGTAGGGGACCCCGCCAGAACCGGGAACCTGAGGTGGTGTGTCTGTTCAGATGCTCTGGCATCTTGTCCCTGTGGACAAAGGACCTTAGGAGCAGACGTGCGTGGGGCCCAGGCAGAAGATGCGGGGAGAGCGGCTGCCCGAGCACCGAGCACCGAGCGACCAGCGGGAAGTCTCTGCCGGTGACTACGGAGCAGAGCCGGTAACACCAGACACGTGGGCGCATCTGCAGATGGATAAAGCTTCTCGGAGCTGGTCCCAGCGAAGCCTCACCCTTCTAAAAATACCCCAAGCCCGTTCGCAGTGACTCACCTCTGTATCTCCAGCGTGCTCAGCTTCAATAAAAGTCAATTCTATCCTGCCTGTGTCAGTCTGATGTATTCCGAATTCCTGTTTATTTTCTCTGAAAAGAGAAGACCTTTGGAGGCAGAACGCCAGCGGAAGGTTTTTTTTTCTGTACCCTGTCGTGTCAGGTGGGACAAGGGCCTCGGGGTGTGGGACAAGGGCCTCGGGGTCTGGGCCGTCCTCCCTGAACGCTGCTCTTGCTAAATGCTAAGAGGCAGCCCAGTATTTAGCAGAGGCAGCTGCAACCCAGGAGGTTTGCATAT